AGCTTGCGCTGCAGTGGGTGGAACTTATACACTGACTACGGTAATCCTACAGTACCCCAAAAATTTTTGACAATTTTTTTAAAATAATAATTTATATTAAGTTGAGCCATAGGCGAGGACAGTGTCTTCATACACGCGCCATCCTTTTTCAAGTAATGTTTTCCGGGGGAGGAATATGTAGCAACCTAACCATAAGATTTCTTTCATCTCTACTCGCCTCTAAAGAAACATAATGCTGTCCGTTCGCCATTGTTTAATGTGAGTTTTATTGACGGTCCTAATTAGGAAGAAGTGGTGTAGTGGCAAGTGGCACGCTTACCACGCGAGCGGTCCGGGGATCAAATCCTGGGTCGTGAGTCGCCCGGGCCAACCAAGCCTTCCATCCCTCCGGGGTCGGTTGGTACCAGACTTGTCTGGGAGGATAAAAACACTGACTTGTACATCGGCTGGCCCCCGCAAGTCATTGTATAGGCCACATCGCATTCAAACGCCACTACGAATGTACAAATGGAAGTAGAATGCGTGCCGCATCCCAAAAAGGGATTGATCAACGGCAAATGCTTTATCCTTTATCCTTTATTACCTTATACTTCGGCAGCATACATTGAAGCGTAACCCCACGAAAGCCTCGATGTCCTCCAAAATTGGGTCCCGATATGAAATTTCTTCAGAAATTGCTAGATCATTTCACTGAAGAGCGTGAAGAACTCGAAAAAGACACTCCCAGGTGTATCAAGGGTGATCTCAACCCTGAAGAAAAGAAGAAAAAGGGTAGAAAACAGGATCGCGCTGCACCATATTCGAATTGCAGATTCTTACGATTTCGTTGGTTGAAAAGGGTGATAGGGAGTTTTCAATCGACAGTGGTGCGCTGATGAAATTTCAGGCGGAACGGCTCTGGATCCGAGTTCACCGGCACAACCAATTCATTGAACAGTGTCAGAAAACAATTTGGTGAACACCTTTTTCAGTCTTGCCGAAGGCGAAAAGGACGCAAGTAAGCTTTAAGAGGACTGGAGTTCGAGAAACGCTCCAGTAAACTACTCACTTCGTGTGACTTTTATTGGTCATCTAACCACTCCCCCTTCCGATACCCTTCTATAAAACCCGCATACGAGCCTTAACAACTGAATATTAGGGCCTCCTCACCCTCGGAAAACTGGAGTGGGCGACATGACTTGCGTAGGGGTTCTGCGGTCTGCACCGAGAGGAAATCACGCTTCAGTTCTACCTACAACAGCATAAACCTCGAAGCACGAGGGAAATTCGATACGTCAGGTCAGGTCGCAAGCCAGTCACCAATCTGTGAGTCACACGGTTTGGTTCTGTGAAGATGACAGCGCAGTCGATCAAGACGCCCTGAGGCTTCACCCGCTACCTTCGCAGTCTGTCTCTCTAGCCGGTGTCATCACCGAAACCAGCATCGCGGTGGACCGCTGCTACCGCCCTTCACCTTTCCAAGGGCTGGCACCTCGCAACAAGCCTATCTCCCTTTTCATCATCATCTCCTCCTTACTTTTCTCCTCATATCAGGTGAGCCATTGTCGACCTCCGGTCATACATATTATGTTGTTTCCTATAGCTTAATTTCAGAATGCACTTTTAGATATTGACGTGAAGTGCCTCCGCCTAGCAAAGAGAAAGGCGTCGGGTGGCGACGATACACTACAAGTTCAACGCTTCGGTAATCTAGGTGTGGTTATAGCTGGACTTGTTTTTCGAGTATTGATAGCGTAATTAGTGACAAGAATATAGTATACCTACAACAGGCTAACCACTTCAGTTGGCAGAAACATCTGCATCTGAAAGCCTCGTCATTCTGTTGTATGACCTGCACCCAACAAGTCTTCTCGTTTTTGAAGAGACTGAACATAAAATGCAGCAATAGTCTATATTTTGTAGTGTAAGCAAGACAGGTTCAGCCCCATCCTTATTGCGCTCACAATCATAGTCAATAGTCTTCCCGTCCCAGGTAGGCCTACCTTACCAGCTCCTGACAGCGTCACGTAGAGCTCTTCAGCGCGATCCGTTTTCCCCTCGGGGGTGTGCGGGCACCCTCTAGTTTCCCACATGTTGATGCGGCTGGGTGCAGATTCCGATGCTCAGCTCCGCAGGCACCTGGTTGCGTGGCTGGCGCGTTCAGCTCAGAAAAGCTCCAGCTCATGTGCTTTTGAGTTCCGTTGAAGTTGTAATGCTTTAAAGCTAATTTCAAAATTCCAAAATTGCCAAAAGAACTTTTATTATACAAATAAAAATCTCATCATGAATAGCACCGTAGAGTTCCGGTAGAGGAAATGTCTAAATCTCAATCGAACAAGTATGTACAATGACAATAGAGGCGAAAAAACGACGAGACAGACAGAGGGAGAGCACTTCGATGGCACCTTCGATCACCAGGCAAATACAAGGTAATAAAAGAAACAGAGAAATCAATTATGAACTATGGAAACGGTAGCACAGAAAATGGAAGAGACCGAATCTATGGTGGCAATATCGATCGATATCGATCGATAAAAGTGGAATGTCCTGGAAGCTGAGAAGACGCTGCAGAATCGCAAATGGAAATATTGCGTGCTAGCACGGGGAGAATGGAAGGGTGTATTCCTGAGCTGAGATGGCGAAAGCCGTAAAATGGGGGAGTAAAAACCGACCTCAACAATTTTGACAGCCCTTTTGGAAAAAATAAACTTCTTGAAGACTTAAAATGCTATCATTTGAAAAATCGACCAGATTTTGTACCCTTAGGACTTGACAAAATTGCTGAAATCAGGCTAAGGGTCGTGTCATATTTTGCAGTTCGAGTGTAAAATCAATACGTATCGATCATGCGATCGCATATCGACACCACACGAATAGCAAACTGAACTGCAAAGTATGGCTCTACCTTAACATCAAAGATAACTAGTTATCACTCTGAGTTTTGATGCGATGCAGTCGACGATCGACTGGATGACGGCTCTTCCACTGAGTTGTTGTACATGTTATAGCTGAAATCAATAAATCAATGACGTCTGATATGGGACATACTAGATGAAGGAAGGGTTGTTTCAGCAGCTGGAGGGAAAGGAAATTTTGTGGGAAATCCCCAAACATTACATAGTGCACGTCAGATTGGATATTCAGGTAATCGGACGAACCTTACGGGTATCTGACAGGAGGCCCGTCGCGCGGCAAGAAGGCAGAGACAGTGGACGAGTAGCAGCGCGTGTGTGCGATGGAGGACGTATAATGGTGCATTCCATCTAACTTGACGCGAAATCACTCAGCAAGCGCTGGTACCCGTCCACTTACTCATCCTTCTGCTGTGCGATGGGCCTTCTGTTGGGTATCCCTAACCTTACAGAAGTGGCTCTTTTTGCCTATTCTGTGGTTCACATGCAATCACGACGCAAACGTTACGCCTCAGGTACATGCCGTGGCCAATTGTAGGACCTTATGCCATCCTTTCTCGAGGAGGATGCGCCGCTCTCCCTGAATGCTACCCTAAGGTTGGGGGAGTCAGGGTGGGGTCATATGATCTGCCATACTCTGAGCTTCTACCTTTGAGACAGTTACAACACTGGGTCTTCCCAGAGGGTACCGTGCTGCAACGGAATAGCGTCCATACAGCACCAAACGGTTCCTAGTGGGTCGCATAGCGACACCCTGTCTACGTCGTAATCGACTTTGCGTGCTAGAGGGCGAGGTATCTCGTCCATTAGCTCCAGATTTGTTCTTATCAACTCACTTTGTGAAGGTGGCGCGGATTCTATTCCTATGTCAGGCTGAGGGGACGCGTTGCAGTTCTCCTCCTCAGGTCAGGTCACTCAAGATTGGAACACCACTCATTTGCTCAAAGCGAGCTAAGAACTAAGCCGAGACCCAGTCATAGCTTAAGCTTAGACAATCTGTAAGCGTAAGCCTACGCTTAAGCCTAAATCCACGCAACGTCGGGTTTCAATGTGCACTCTGCTGACGGGATTAGA